AAAAAAAAAAAACAAAGAAAACACGATCAATTATTAAGGAAGGTCAAAAAAACTTTTACAAATCTGCTTTTAGAAACAAAGTGATTTGTTCCGACATAAGCAAAAAGTATACAAGAAATTAGATGTCGCTAGCTAGCCGTTGAAAAAGATCGTAAAAATAATTTTTAAAAAAATGGAGGATCAGAATGTCAAAATAGCTCTCTATCCTTTATTTACAGAAATATCAAAAAAGAAAGCACTGTTCCAAAATCAGGAGCACATCCCTCTTAAAGGTAAAAGTGAGATTTTTATTTTGTTTTATTTATTTATTTTTGGTCGAAAAAGTGAACAATCGCATTTTTCCAGCTAACTTGCCTACGCATAATAAGTAATAACCTCATGTTTTAACAAAAAGCGACAATTATTAACAGTAAATAATAAAAGGTCATTCGAGACTCACCATTTGATGGATCAACGTGCACGAAGAAACTAGCAGCGACAATTAGATAACACAAAATGAGCATTAAACCTTTAAAATAATTCGATTGACCTTCCTGCAAAATAAAAAGAAGCAACAATACCTAAAGAACTCACAATTTTTACAATATATATGTAGTGAAATTTAGTTGCATAAACATTTTCCAATTATCTAAATTCTTCTAAGAAATTCATGGAAACGTAATTTTTTATACCAAGCAACAATAGTTTTTTACGACAACTAACATAATTTGAAAAATAAAAAGGTGAAGAACAAATGAAACTATGAAAGTAGAAACAAACCTGAAGCATAAATGCCACGACTAATACTGTGATGAATAGTGTAGCAGTCTCAAATAGTTGAAAGTTCAAATCCATAGGCTTTCCCATGAACCAGCCAACAATTACACAAAATGGGATCTGCACGTAAATAACACCAAAAGGAGCACAACAATCATAATTTGCCAAAAAAAGTTAGTTGCATAAGCCCCGAAATGCAAAGTTTTCAATGCCTCACCTTGGATATATCTCATATCTCATTAATCAAGTTAAAAAGAAACAAGAAAAATCGAGAAGTGATGGAACCGTGTTTATTTAGTACTCCTCGACCAAGAAAATTCGCTCAACAAAAACAAGACAAGCTTCTCAAAACAGAACATTGTGGATGATTCTAAAAAAACGTTAAGAAAAAAAAAAGCCTGAAATTTATGAGTGTCCTAATAATTTGTTTCTACTTTACTTTTAAACTTCAAGGGCAATTTCCGTAACTATCTATCCTTCTCTAAAAAGTTTTTATTAGGACATACCACGAACATTGATATCTGGGTAGATGATCCAATTGCAACTCCAAGTGAAATATCCTAGAAACAAAAAAGTGGTCAATTAGATGAAAAACATAACACATTAAAAAATTAATAACAAAATATATACATATACAGATAAGAAAATGTATTAATCAATACTCACAAGCTTATCCTTCATAGCAAACATGATAGCACTGGCATGTTCTGCGGCATTACCCACAATCGGGAGCAAGATAACACTTATAAAAGCAACGGGCATGTTCATTGAATCCGAGGCGCCCTAAAATAAAATAAAAAAATAATTAAAAAAAAGAAGACACATACATTATATATTAATGAAAGTCGAAAAATGGCCTTTTTCGTTATTTTGGCTTAATCACTATATACCTTACGATAAATATTTGCCGTTATTACTATGATTAGTTACCTGAATTGCATCAACAAGATATCCAGATAGAATGGATATCCACAAAGTCAAGATTGAAAGCCAAGCAACTGCTTCCCAATGTGTAATCTCGGGCACTTCATCTTCATCCGAACCTTCATCATTATTCTCATTTGACTGCAGCATGTAGCATTGTTACAGATAAAGTTAGTTCTATACAAATGCCTAATTAGTTGATTGTAGCTGCAAATGCATGTAATACTTGTGCATGAGCTATCAACATAGGACATACATTCCAAACAAAAAGATAATAGGCAAAATTGCATTTTTAATCATTGTTGGTTTAAGGCCGTAGCACTTTTAGTCACACGGTTCCACATTTGGCTGATTTAATATTTTGCTGCAATATCAAATTCCCAGATTTTTTATTAA